GAACAATCTAAGATTACAAATACCTAGGATTATTAAAACTTTGTTACTATCACTGGTCAACTACATGCATCATTAAATATGTGAGAAACAGTTCTATCAGACAATTGATATTTATGCATAAAAAAATTACTAAAAAAACCTATATAGAACTAATCATCCTAAGATCAAGTGGGTATGAAGTTGCATCAGAAATCACCAAAAGATAGAATACCAAAACAATTGTAGGCTATTAGATAACTTTAATACCTGCTTACACTGGATATTTATGTTGTGATTTTTCATTCAGGTTCTTGTGAAGAATATGTTGATACAATTTTTCAATTATGAGATGGGGGTAGAGATGGAAGTGTTTTATAACAGGTGTTATATAACTGTTGTATAACATTTATGGTTTTTTATAACATATTTATAACAAATAATCAATGTAATACATATTAATATTAATTCTTTACAAAAAAAAATCCTCTCGCCGTCTTTCCAACCAACATTAATTTCTTGATAACTAACTATTTATCAAGTTTCTAACATTATTATAAGCAATATATTTTGTTTATTTTCTTGTCATTAATGAATGATTTTTATACATACAAAATAGTTTGAATTATTTCTGTTTGGATACACTTTGAAGCATCAAATGATAGAAGACATAATAAAACAAACAATCATTATGATGCAAAATGCACATATTGTAATGAATTAGTGAGTGGGCAGCCAGAAAGACTTAAAAATCATATAAAAAGATGTAGAAATGTTGATGAAAGTATTAAGTCAAGATATGATAATTGTTCATCCAGCCAAAATGTACAGTCTATATTAGAACAAACAAAATTAACTTCATTTGTTGATAAATGTTATCAAATGAAATAGAAGAAATTGATGCAATATTAGCTCATATGATTTTTGGTTTAGGTTTACCATTATCACTTGTAGAAGCTCCTGCATTTGTAGAATTTTGCAAAAAGTTACGTCCATCTTACAAGTTACCTTCAAGAAATACAGTAAAGTGAATGTTTATTAAATAAAGAATTTGAGAATGTACAAAAATCAATTAAAAAATTAGTCAATAATGCAAAATTTGTTTGAATTGCAACTGATGGATGGACTAACTTGAGAAATGAACCTATAGTAAATTTCATCATCACAACTAAGGTTTCTGGTCCAAACTGTTTTCTCAAAGCCCAAACTAGTTTGGGCAATTTGGGCTTCTCAACATTTTCTATAAGCATGAACATTAAAAAACTATATGAATCAACTTGTTTTAACTTAAACAACTTTAAAATAATTTCGCCCAATTTCGGCTAATAACAAAAAGTAGTTTGAGCTTATAAAAAATTAATTTTTGCCCAAAGTATTTGGGCAATTTCAGCTACTAATAGAAGCAGTTTCGACCAGAAACCTTAATCACAACTCCAAACCAGTGTTTTGGAAAGCCATTAAAACATCACATACCTCTCAATTTATTTCGGAATCTATTGATCAGGTGATAAATAATATAGATCATAAAAAATTAGCTGCAGGTTTTTTGTCTTATGATCACTTTTTTTTATTGTATTTAAAACATTTGAAAATTTAATGTTACACTTTATAAGAAAAAAGATCCTTTGTCCATTATGAATAAAACAACCTATTACTATTTAAAATAGTTTGGACCCAAAGTGTTTTGGCAATTAGCGAGGTAGTTTTGACCAGAAACCTTGATCAATAAGCTGCAGATAAATTCAGAAGCATTTTTGTTAAATGGGGCTTTTAAGAAAAAGTTACATCTATTTATAATGGAGAGTTATTTAAAATATTGTTTGAAAATATTTGCAGTTTTGTTTTGTTTACAATTGTAAATATCAACAAGAGTTATGGCTATATTATTAATAAAGAATTTTTATTTGAATGCCTCAAGAATATCTTTACCTATTTATAATTTTTTTGTTTTTATTCTTGAAGTTGAATGTTAAAATAAATTGAACAAAAATGTTCTTTAAATGCAAAGAATTTTCTTGAAGTGTAATTTGCATTATTTGGATTTATTTACAGATCAATAATTTCTTTTGCCAAATTCAATCCACTTTTTTGCAGTATGCCCCATATAAAAAGAATGTCCATCATGTCATGTACAGAGATTTTTTCTTTATTTGTAGTAATTCTCAGATGTCCAACAAATGGTATCACTTAGACTCATAAACTACTATTGATGGTTGGAAACAAAAATCAAAATCAAAAATCATTGGATCTTACCTTAAAATTAACAATCAATTTTTATGGGAAGGCAATGGAACAATATAATTTAATGGTAAATTTAACAAAAATTAAAGCTCATTCCAAATAACTATCCTCTCAACAATATAGCTGACTCACTAGTGTTACTGAGATTAGACTTTAACGCAGATTCCCTATAATAATAATAATAACAGCCGTTATAGAGAGTGTACAGAATATAAAAAATAAAAAATTTTATCCGCGTAATTGAATGAAATTTTTTTTTAATACATGTAAATAGTATTTTATCCACAATTACATTATCACCAACATCCTTTCTATTATAATAATATATCAAGTAATATGAATACCCAACTGTGTCATACACAGTGAATCTCGATTTAGCGGATCTCGATTCAGCGGATACTAATTAAAATCTCGGTTTTACGGATAAAGTTCAAAGAACGGTTTCATAATAAACCTTAATAAAAACCTTCTCGATATAGCGGATATCTCGGTTTAACGGATTTTTGGAAAATTTTCCTAATTGCCCAAACTATCCGTTAAATCGAGATTCACTGTGTAATTAGCTAAAAAATATTTATTCATGCAAGCAACTTCTACTCCAAATGAGCGTCCAAGTCAAACCTTGTCACAGCGGACTATAATTAAATTCTTGACATAACGGGTTTTTTAAATTTTTGCTTCACATTAAAATATAAATGCCCTTTGTGGCGAGATCAGTAATATTAATAGTAATCTTGCCACAACGGATTTTGGGTAAAATTTTCTTATGTGTTCCATTCACCCGTTGTGACAAGCTTTGACTGTATTTAGTGAAGCTGGAAACACAATGACAGCCAAATGAACAAATTTGAATCCATTTTTATTTGAAAAGATTGTATTTCTTAAAAAAAAAAAAATGCAATGTGTTGAAAATATTTTTCTGGCGAATAAATAATTGTTAAATAATCCAAATAAATGAATATTCGGCGGATATTCGGTGAATGATTAATCATCTGGGTGTTGAGCTTTATTGATTGGCTAAGTACTCAAACACCCGGATACAACCACTATATCTTTCAATAAACTATTATATTTTTTAAATATAATAACAATAATAGAGTTAATAAACTAAAGCAAATATATGATAATTGTGATGATAATAAATTATAACTTACTAAATTACAACGCTTCAAAGACTTCAATAGGTAAATCAATTTAGTTGTATCTCACTTTTAGCCCATAATGTGAATGTGGCTTTATTTCATCTACTGAAACAAGATTTACAGTCGAAGTATGTCGTTTTGTCATTTAAATTTCTACAATTAAAAAACGATTCATATTAATTAATTTTCTTATTATTATGGTTATTGACCCTGCATTATAGTAAAACCTTTAACCGTATTAAATGTATGTATATCCTTTCCGTTTACAGTCAAAGCTCGTTAATTCATAGGTCTAGCACGACAAATTTTTATGAATTTATCGAATTATGCCATTATCGAGAGTCGCTCTTTAATTTAATGAGAATAGGAAATGTGATTTAGAGATTTTTTCTATAAAAAGATGAGATTTTCGATAAAAAATTTATTGTAATTATAAAAAAAAAATTCTCAATGTTGTTTTTGTCATTGAAATATTATTATTATTATGCATGAATTTTTATTAATGTATCACGAAATGTTAAATATTATTAAACCTGTTTTTATTGCATATTAAAAAATATGCCGATCATCTGCTTCTATCACGAATTTACCGTAAAGTCTGGAAAGATAGCACCCCCTACTTTAAAACAATTGAGCGTCAATATAAAAAAAATGTTACACATATGTAAAAAGGGGATGCTATCTTTCCAGACTTTACGGTAAATTCTATTTCCCCATATTATTTTCTTAATATTAATAATTTCTACTATCAAAATTTGATGTCTTGTATTTACAAAAATTCTGACTATGCTAGAGTTTTAAAAGTCCTTCAAAGTTTAAAATAAAAAACTTCCATTAAAATAATAAATGAAATAAAAGAATTTCTAGGGAACAATTGTAAGTATTTTTTATATCCAATTAAAGAAAATTATTTGATTGCAATGGTACACGAATTTATTTGTTGTCTAAAATTTACCATTCTTTGTGACACATAATTATCTTTCAATGGCTTCTTCTCCTCCCCCCAAAATTTTACATGTTAAAAAAACCTTCACTTTTTAAGTATATAAAGACATCCATATTTCGTTATATTATCTAAATGGTATATATCACATAATTAAAATTTTGGTTACTAAATTTAATAAAAAAATCCTGAATAGTTATTTCTTTTCTTGTCAAATAAATTGGTTTTTATGCTGTGTGAATTAATAATAATCAGTATTGTTACTAAAGTTTTATTAACGTAAGACAAAGATGAAGAAAGATCATTCTATTACACAAGAAAAAATTTATAAATTAGTAGAATTTTTAATTTACAAATTTTTATCTTTTTTATTTTTTTTTTAACTCATCATAAACACCTTTTCCTTTACCTTCATTCCTTCAATCCTTAAATTAATTCTTCTACACACTATCCAAATCCTCCTAATCCAATAATTCGCTTCTACCACCACATACATTTTCCCTCGATTAATCACATTAATCACGAATCATAATAACCACGCACAAAATTTATTGTAGGGAAAGAAAAAACCCTTATTAATATAATATAATTTATATAGTCAAACTTAATTTAATCTAATTTAATAGATTCAATATTTATTTAATATATAAAACATGCATTTAAATCAATTCATCAAATATTTGTTAGTTTTGTCCAGTATGGTGATGTTGTCATCTGCACAAGATAGTGGGGATGGGTTTGTTTTCAAATGTAAAACCCCCGGCCAAGTTGCTTTAACTTTTGACGACGGACCATCAGCCGCAAACACACCAAAATTATTAAAAATATTAGATAACAAAAATATTAAAGCCACATTCTTTGTTTTAGCTGTTAATGTCAATGAGGGTAATAATAAAAATATATTGAAACAAACCTTTGAAAAAGGTCATCAAATCGCATTACATTCTTCAACCCATTCTGATATGAATAAATTGTCACCAGCTAAAGTAAAAGAAGAATATGTCAAAAATATAGAGGCTGTCAAAGCTACTATTGGCAAATCTCCAAATTACGCCAGGTAAAATTCAATTCAATTTTTTTTTCATCATTTTATTTTAAATTAAAATTCGATCGGTCAATTTAACATGAATATTAACTAATTATATAAATCAGACCTCCATTTGGTAATTGTAACGCTGCTTGTGCCAAAGTAATGAAAGGATTAGGTTTAACTGTAACTCAATGGAATGCTGATTCTCAGGATTGGCAATACGCTCAAGCAAAAGAAAAACAATCTTTAACAGTCAAAAATATAATAGACGTAATGGGAAAAGGGAATCCAAAAGTAGACTCATTCATCACTTTACAACACGATATTCAACCATTTTCTGTTGATTTCACACCAGAAATTATCGACAAAATTACAAGCTTTGGTTATAAATTTGTCACAGTATCTGATTGTTTAAACAACAAACCCACTGCTTATAAAGAAGGTGACAATATCAAGACAGCTCCCACAACTCCCGCTGTTGCCCCCGCTCCACCCGCTCCTCCTGCTCCTCCTGCTGCCACAACTCCCGCTGTTGCCCCTGCTGCCACAACTTCCAGTGCTGCTCAACCATCTAAAACACCAAAAGCAAAAAATGATACACCAAAACCAAAAGCAAAAAATAATGACGACAAAAATAATATAGAAAATAATGATACTACTACTACTAATAACGGTAGTACTCAAACACAAGCACCAAAAAGTTCAGCTAATAAAATTGCTTCTTCATCAAGTATTCTTGGAATTTCTTTATTTGTCTTCATCCTTGGTTTCTTCTGGTAAACCATTTAAAGATATATAAACACATTCATCTATATAAATAGTACAAAAAAAATATATGTTATAGACTTTAGTCATTTTTTTTTTTAAATAAATTGGGGTTTCCGTGTCATGTGTCATAAATTTTATTTTTAAATAAATTGGGGTTTCCGTGTCATGTGTCATAAATTTTATTTTTAAATAATAATAAAATAAATTGGGATTTCTACGTCATAAATTTTTAAATAATGATAATAATAAAATAAATAAATTGGAATTTCCGCGTCATAAATTATAAATAAATAAAATAAATTGGGATTTCCGTGTCATAAATTTTAAAAAGAATTATATTGTTTTTTAAATACAATAAATTTATTCATTTTATATATCGATTTGGGGGGTTGGCGCAATGGTAGCGCGTCCGCCTCCAGAGCGGAAGGCTGGGTGTTCGAGTCACCCACTCCCCAATAAGTTTTCTCATGAGAAATTTTTTTGTGCACAAAGTATGAAACACCCGTTTTTTTTATTTTACTTGTGACCGTTGTGCGTGAAAATGAAATCTATGTGAATTTGCAATTAGCCAATCAGAATTTCATATCCAAACACCTCACCCCAAAATTATTTCGATTTCACATCACGTACAACATGACCACGTTTATTTATTTAAAAATCTAAATTCAATTAACCTATTTATTTTAAAGCTAGCCTTCCACCTTTAATTAAAATAATCAAACATATTTAAATAAATCCATTTAAATTATCATAAAAAGATAGCATACTACAAGCAAAAAACCTTCCACTTGGACTATAAACTATGCCCTTTATCAGAATATATACCATTCTAAAGACTGAAAGAAGTAATTTGAGGACGTTTTGCATGCAATTTTTTTCTATTGGATATTCCAATGTTCCCATTTAATAATTTCTTCACAACTGGGCTTCCAAACTGTATCAAAGAAAGCTCCTGAACAGTTCCAGGGCTGCTTTTCTTCCTTTTGATTATGAGTCATTGATGTGTGTGAAAATATGCACTATATTTCTTGGAATTAAACCCCTTGTGAAAATTTTCACAAAGAGTGTAAAAGATCTATTTCACATTATTGCTTGTTGTATATCTATGTAGTTGTCACTATAAATTTTTTTAACAATGCAGTCATATTCAATGCTTTTATTAGATAGATATTTAAATGAAATTATTACATGGTTAAAGAATATAATATATTATCTATCTAAACTATGCTAATAAGTTCTCCCTTATAGAAATACTTAATTGAAGTGGACTGGCCACTAATAATATTATTGTTATTATTATTATTATGAGTATTATTGTTGCTGTTATCTTAATAGAGATTAAAAATTCAAATGTTTTTTATCAAGTCCTAATTGTTTGTATCTTTTGAATTTTCACAGTACCATCAAATCTCCAGATACCAAATTACACCCAGGATAATTTGTATCTATGTTTTGTAATAGAAGGCTTTCCTTCAAAGATATATATAAAAAAAAAAGGTTCTCAATGATGATCACATTCATTTCCACTCTACTTTATGCATCTTTTCCTCAGTGGAAACCCATTTAAAGAATTCAATTGTTTTGCTTTGCAATTTCTATAATGGTAATTATTAATGAATTAATTTTAGTATTAGTGAATAATTTTGTGTAAAGAAGATAAGAGTTTGTTTAAATAAAATATTTATTATTTTATTTATTTAATTTAACTTGTTAGAAAGTTATTTTTACAGTAGGTCAAATTTGAGTTCTTTATATACATGTTAAATTATATACACTTACTGGAAAAAAGTATCGCTTCACCTGATGATTGGCGAAAATAATTGAATAACTCCTGTGATATAAAAAGTCATTATTTTACTAATCAAATCGATGTTGTGTAATAACAAAAAAATCTTTTTCATAATGAATTCTATAACATACTCAAGTTCCACAACATTCAATTAATTATTGGTAATTTTATGATCTTTAAAAGACAAAAAAAAAATTTCCGGAAATTTTCCAAAAAACTTTAGATTAGAGCCAACTTTAGATGTCATGT